GGAAGGAAGGAAGGAAGGAAGGAAGGAAGGAAGGAAGGAAGGAAGGAAGGAAGGAAAGCAACCGCCCATCCTCACCAGCGTGATATCCCGAGAAGCAGCCGCCGCGCTCATGTGAAGGCTGGGCTGACGGATGGAGCTGCTGCAGTCGAGGGCTCGCGCAAAAGTGCCCACCGCCCTGAGACCGGAGAGAAAGGAGAAAAAGGAGAGAAGGGCTAACCACCGCCTACTCTCCACCGGGCCCCGAGCAGCCCCCCCACTCTGCCGCCCTCGGACCTCACCGAGCCACCACGAGGAACTGGTCGATCTGCCGGTCGGTCAGCGGGTTGTCCGGATCCCACACTTTCATCTCCATCTTCTGCTGGTTCCGGTTGTCGGATTCCCCTGAGGAGGAGGAGGAGGAGGAGGAGGAGGAGGAGGAGGAGGAGGAGGAGGAATGGGGAGGATCAGCACTCGTGGCCGGCCCTTCTCCAGCACGGCTCCCCTCGCCCCCAGATCGGAACCCAGAGCCGCCCTGGCTCACCTTCCGCCAGTCGCTCAGGGATCTCTGCCTGGTACTTGCAGCCCACCCGAATCTCCCCCTGGTCGGCTAAGAGGGTCTTCTGAACCGGGTCGAAAACCAGCGAGTAGAAAAAACAGTCCTAGAGGGGGGGAAAAGACAGAGGCTGTCTTTGAGGAATCCATCTTGAGCAAATGTCTTGTCTGCTCTTTTGTCCTTTTCCCTTCTTCCCTCGTTCCTTCTTGACAACCTGCCTGCCTCCTTTCCCTCTCTCCCTCCTCTCTTCTTTCTCCTCCCTCTTTCCTTTCTCTCTCCTCTCTTCTTTCTTCCTCCCTCTCTTCCTTTTCTTCTTCCCTCCTTCCCTCTCCACCCTTCCGTTCTTTCCTTCATCTCCTCCCTCCCTCCCTTCTCCTTTCCTCCCTCCCTCTCTTCTCCTCCTCCTCCTCTCCTCCCTCCCTTTTCTCTCCTCCCTCCTTCGTCCTTTCTCTCCTTCTCCAAGGGAGTCCTCTGTCATGGAAGGCCAGATCTGAGCGTTCTCTGAAGAACCCCAACATTTCCCATCTTCCCTGCCTCTACGGCTTCCTCCTTCCGTTATGTATTCAAGATGGACAGGGATTAATATTTATATAGGTTACTTATATGTAAGGGTGCAGGTCTATACACACGTTGTCTATAGTACGTTTCAAGGTGTGTTACGTATGTGTGTGTACGCTTCGAGAGCAAGCAACTCAATTTCATTTTTGATGTGTAAAAAAAACAAAAACGACAATAAAGGTGATCGATCTGACGCTCCCGAGACCGTCCCCACCTGCCCTCCCAGCCTCTCACCTCTTTATCCAAGTACTGGCTGAGGATATCCGTTTCATTCAGCAGGGTAACGCTGCACTTCCCCCTGCAACCAAACAGGACTGGGGGTCATACAAGCTAGTCCTCAACGTGCGACGGTTCGTTTAGTGACCGTTCCAAGGGGCGACAGCACGGGGGAAAAAGGGGGCTTAGCACCGTTGCTCACACTGACGACTGGTTGCTCACACTTAGGACCCGTTGCAGCATCCCTGGGGGTCGTGTGATTTACGTTCCGATGCTGGGCAACTGCTTGCCTGAGCAGGGGGTTGGACTAGATGACCTCCAAGGTCCCTTCCAACTTATTATTATTATTATTATTGTCGTCATCTTTTATTTATTAAATATGAACCTCAGTCAACTGAACATTCAAATTGGCTGACGCTGAGGGTTGACATGGGTTGCTACCAACATCCTAGGTGTCAACCAGGGGGTTAGACTAGATGACCTCCAAGGTCCCTTCCAACTACTACTACTACTACCACCACTACTACTACGGCTTATTATTATTATTACTATCATTATCATTTATTCATTAGACATGAACCTCAGTCAACTGAACATTCAAATTGGCTGGCGCTGATGGTTGACACGGGTTGCTACCAGCATCCTAAGTGTCAATCGGGGGTTGGACTAGATGACCTCCAAGGTCCCTCCCATCATCTTCCTCTTCCTCTTTCTCTTCTTTTTCTTCTTTTTCTTCTTTTTCTTCTTTTTCTTCTTCTTCTTCTTTATTCATTAGACATGAATCTCAGTGAACTGAACATTCAAGTTGGTTGACACGGGTTGCTACCACCATCCTAATTATTATTATTATTACTATTACTATTACTATATTATTATTATTATTATTATTATTATTATTATTATTATTATTACTATTATTATCTGGTTCATATTTATGATGGTTGCCATGTCCCGTGATCCCCTTTCGCACCCTTCTGAGAAAGCCAATAGGGAAGCTGGGTTCATTTAACGACCGTGTCACTAATTCAACCACTGCGACTCCCTTAGCAACCGCGGCAAGAAAAGTCATAAAAGGGGGCAAAAAATTCACTTCGCAAACTTCCCCCTTAGCAGCGTCCATTTGGGGCTCCACTGTGCCCTCAAGTGGAGGACCACCCACGTTCCTGACCTCCCCTCCGATGGTCACCTTCTAAGAATACCCTCTATTCTTCCAACGCCGATTTCAGCGCGGTAATAACATTCGTAGGCCGCGACAGGCAACGACGCGCCTTCTGTTATTTAGAAACCTCCTCACCGTATGTGGGTGGCGGGCAGAGACTCGAACTGGCGGGACAAAAAGAGCTCTCGGTGTTTCAGCTGGTGCCGCTGCTGCTCCGAAACGGAAGGCTGCTTCGACTCTTCTTCGAATTCTCCTAGAGTTCAAGTTAGTTGTTTTTGGTTTTTTTTAAGGGAGACGAGAAAGAGAGAAAGGGAGAAAAAGAGAGAAGCACTTTTAGCAATTCCACCATACTCAGAGAAGGGGCAGTGGGAGGTTTCAGAAGGCGCGACCGACGAGAAAGCGCACCAACAAAGGACGCGTGTTTGGTGTTTCTCGGTGTTGTTTTCTCTCTCTCTCTCTCTCTCTCTCTCTCTCTCTCTCGTCATCTGAGGACCAGGAAGCTAGAAGATCGTACATCGTTTGGGATCCTTGGAGAGGTTTAGCTCGGGAATCACTGCCTTGACTCTGAACCAGTAGCACAGCCCATCACTCTGAAGCAGCGTTTCTCAATTTTGGCAGCTTTGAGACGGGTGGGGGCTTCAACTGCCAGAATTCCCCAGTCAACATGCTTTGAGATGGGGAACTTCAACTCCCAGAATCCCCCAGCCAGCATGTTTTAAGGTGGGGGACTCCAACTCCCAGAATCCCCCAGCCAGCATGTTTTAAGGTGGGTTGGCTTCAACTCCCAGAATCCCCCAGCCAGCATGTTTTAAGGTGGGGGACTTCAACTCCCAGAAACCCCCAGCCAGCATGTTGTAAGGTGGGGGGGAACTTCAACTCCCTGAATCCCCCAGCCAGCCTGCTTTAAGAGGGATGGACTTCGCCTCCCAGAATTCTCCTATGGCTGGCTGGGGAATTCTGGGCGTTGAAGTCCACCCATCTGAAAAGTGCCAAGGTTGAGAAACGCCGGTCTTCAGCAAAAGAAAGGCAGAGAGGACAACACACACAACCCGGACACAAACTGCTGACTCCGGTGTCTGTCGCTCCCTAATCCACTTTGAACAAAAGCCATGTCAGCCAGAAGAGAGAGACAGAGAGAGAGAAGAAGAAGAGAGAAACAATCTCCTTTTTTGCCTGTCCTAAAATCTACGGCGGAGATGCCTTTACTCTTTGGCACCAAGCCTTCCTAACACCGCACACCCTGGGATTTCTCAGCTCAGGAGCCTTTGTGCCCCCAAGGCCTGTGGATTGGGGGGGGGGAGGGAGGGAGAGGGAAGGAAATCCAATTCTAATCCCTCCTGCCTTTTCTGCTCTCCTGCAAATTTTGCACCTTTTTTGCCTCCTTCCCTTTCCAGAAACACACACACACACACACTCCTGTGCCTTTTTACAGCACTCCCGAGCATTGTTCTTCTTCTTCCTCTCCCTCCCACCCTTCTGCTTTTAGAGCTTGGCAAGTGTCCCAAAGAGGTGGGGAGGACAGGAAGTAGAAGGGTGTTCCCTCCCCTTTCCACCTACACACCCCTCTGGGGGGAGGGAGGGGACGCTCAGGCAATTCTCTGCAGGGATAGGCAGCGCCCTCCTCTTCTTTGCCCAATCAGGTCCCACCAAGTCAAGGTCACAGCCCCTGCTGGAGAGGCTGGGGAGCCCCAGAGAAATCCCCTCCTCCTCCTCCCCCCAAGCCCACAGCTGCAAACCCTCTTGGGTTCCCCCCCCCTTCAAAGCCAAGCACCCTCCGCCCCCAACGGACGCCCAGCCCTCAACTTTGCACCAAGTTGGCACATGCCAAGAAAAAACCCAGACAGTTCCTCCTCTGGAATTCCACCTGCGCCCTCGTAGGCGCACACACACGCACATGTGTTCTGTACACATCCCAGTTGGTTTTTTTCATCCCCAGGGAGAACTTGGGAGAGGCTGACTGGGCCCAGCAGAGGGTGGGGCAGCTTTTGAGCCAGGTTTTTTTTCCCTTCCCTTTTCCTGGGTGAGCTGCCTCGGCTGCTGCTAGGAGGGGGGGGAAACTTAGGGCCAGGTGGCCCCTGCAAGGGAGCAAGGCCACTCTGGCCGTCTCAAACCATCCCTTGGGATCGAAAGCCTTCCCTGCAGGGAGGGAGGGAAGGAGGGTGGGAGAGAAAGAAAGAGGGAAAGAAAGAGGGAAAGAGGGAAAGAGGGAAAGAAAGAAAGAAAGAAAGAAAGAAAGAAAGAAAGAAAGAAAGAAAGAAAGAAAGAAAGAAAGAAAGAAAGAAAGAAAGAAAGAAAGAGAGAATGGGACGGAGGAAGAAAGGAATTGGAAAGGGAGGGAGGGAAGGAAGGAAAGAGGGAGGGAGGAGAGAATGGGAGGAAGGAAGGGAGGAACGAATTGGGAGGGAAGGAGGGAGGGAAAGAAAGAAAGAAAGAAAGGAAGAAATAAAGAGGAGAGAATGGGAGGGAGGAAAGGAGGAAGGAAAAAATGGGAGGGAGGGAGGAATTGGGGAGGGAGGGAGGGAGGGAAAGAAAGAAAAAGAAAGAAAGAAAGAAAGAAAGAAAGAAAGAAAGAAAGAAAGAAAGAAGAAAGAATGGGAGGGAGGAAAGGAGGAAGGAAAGAATGGGAGGCAGGGAGGAATTGGGAAGGGAGAGAGAGAGGGAGGGAAGGAAGGAAAGAAAAAGAAAGAAAGAACGAAAGAAAGAGAGAGAAAGAAAGAAAGAAAGAAAGAAAGAAAGAAAAGAGGGAGGGAGGGAGGGAGGGAAAGAAAGAAAGAAAGAAAGAAAAAGAAAGAGAAAGAAAGAAAAAAGAGGGAGGGAGGAAGCAAGGAAGGCTGGTCCAGCCCACCAGGAGCCCCGTCCACTCACGAGCATTGCTGTCAGCCAGGCTGTTGAGGCTGCTGGAGATGTCCCTCCGTCGAAAGAGGCAGACCACCTTCGCCTCCACGTTGCCATTGGCCGTCTGGAGGGGATTACAGAACTGGTCGATCAAATGCTCCAGCCCGGAGACACACACCCCCCACCTCCGCTGTTACCCCATTCCTGGCTTTTCTCGCATGCGACAGACCCACAGCTCCAGGGAAAAAGCAAACATCCACCCACCCACCCACCCAAATTGGCACAACCCACCCGTCAGACCCCTACCTTGTTGAGCTCCTCAATTCGACGGACGAGGTAGGGGTTGCTAGAGGAGTTCTCAAAATAGACATAATCTGGAAAGAGGAGAAAGCAGAAGGGGCTAAGTGAGAAAAAGCAGAAATGTAACGACCCAGTGACTTCCTCCAGACTAGAATGACATTTTATGGAGAAAAGCAACCAAGATGATTAGGGGACTGGAGGCTAAAACATAGGAAGGACGAGGAAAAGGACTGGGGGGACATGACAGCAGTCTTCCAATATTTGAGGGGCTGCCACAAAAAAGAGGAGGGGGTGTCAACCTATTCTCCAAAGCCCCTGAAGGCAGGACAAGAAGCAACAGATGGAAACTCATCAAGGACAGCAGCAACCTAGAATTAAGGAGAAATTTCCTGATAGTGAGAACAATTAACCAGTGGAACAACNCCCCCCCCCCCCCCCCCCCCCCCCCCCCCCCCCCCCCCCCCCCCCCCCCCCCCCCCCCCCCCCCCCCCCCCCCCCCCCCCCCGCTTCAAAGCCAAGCACCCTCCGCCCCCAACGGACGCCCAGCCCTCAACTTTGCACCAAGTTGGCACATGCCAAGAAAAAACCCAGACAGTTCCTCCTCTGGAATTCCACCTGCACCCTCGTAGGCGCACACACACGCACATGTGTTCTGTACACATCCCGGTTGGTTTTTTTCATCCCCAGGGAGAACTTGGGAGAGGCTGACTGGGCCCAGCAGAGGGTGGGGCAGCTTTTGAGCCAGGTTTTTTTTCCCTTCCCTTTTCCTGGGTGAGCTGCCTCGGCTGCTGCTAGGAGGGGGGGGGGAAACTTAGGGTTAGGCGGCCCCCGCAAGGGAGCAAGGCCACTCTGGCCGTCTCAAACCATCCCTTGGGATCGAAAGCCTTCCCTGCAGGGAGGGAGGGAAGGAGGGTGGGAGAGAAAGAAAGAGGGAAAGAAAGAGGGAAAGAAAGAAAGAAAGAAAGAAAGAAAGAAAGAAAGAAAGAAAGAAAGAAAGAAAGAAAGAAAGAAAGAAAGAAAGAAAGAAAGAAAGAAAGAAAGAGAATGGGACGGAGGAAGAAAGGAATTGGAAAGGGAGGGAGAGAGGGAAGGAAGGAAGGAAAGAGGGAGGGAGGAGAGAATGGGAGGAAGGAAGGGAGGAACGAATTGGGAGGGAAGGAGGGAGGGAAAGAAAGAAAGAAAGAAGGAAAGAAAGGAAGGAAGGAAGGAAGGAAGGAAGGAAGGAAGGAAGAAAGAAAGAAAGAGGAGAGAATGGGAGGAAGGAAAGGAGGAAGGAAAAAATGGGAGGGAGGGAGGAAAGGAAAGAAAAAGAAAGAAAGAAAGAGGAGAGAATGGGAGGGAGGAAAGGAGGAAGGAAAGAATGGGAGGGAAGGAGGAATTGGGAAGGGAGAGAGGGAGGGAGGGAAGGAAAGAAAGAAAAAGAAAGAAAGAAACAAAGAAAGAAAGAGGAAAGAATGGGAAGGAGGAAAGGAGGAAGGAAAAAATGGGAGGGAGGCAGGAATTGGGAAGGGAGAGAGGGAGGGAGGGAAGGAAGGAAAGAAAAAGAAAGAACGAAAGAAAGAGAGAGAGAGAGAGAAAGAAAGAAAGAAAGAAAGAAGAGGGAGGGAAAGAAAGAAAGAAAGAAAAAGAAAGAAAGAAAGAGAAAGAAACAAAAAAGAGGGAGGGAGGAAGGAAGGCTGGTCCAGCCCACCAGGAGCCCCGTCCACTCACGAGCATTGCTGTCAGCCAGGCTGTTGAGGCTGCTGGAGATGTCCCTCCGTCGAAAGAGGCAGACCACCTTTGCCTCCACGTTGCCATTGGCCGTCTGGAGGGGATTACACAACTGGTCCATCAAATGCTCCAGCCCGGAGACACACACACCCCACCTCCGCTGTTACCCCATCCCTGGCTTTTCTCGCATGCAACAGACCCACAGCTCCAGGAAAAAAGCAAATATCCACCCACCCACCCAAATTGGCACAACCCACCCCTGTCAGACCCCTACCTTGTTGAGCTCCTCAATTCGACGGACGAGGTAGGGGTTGCTAGAGGAGTTCTCAAAATAGACATAATCTGGAAAGAGGAGAAAGCAGAAGGGACTAAGTGAGAAAAAGCAGAAATGTAACGACCCAGTGACTTCCTCCGGACTAGAATGACATTTTATGGAGAAAAGCAACCAAGATGATTAGGGGACTGGAGGCTAAAACATAGGAAGGACGAGAAAAAGGACTGGGGGGACATGACAGCAGTCTTCCAATATTTGAGGGGCTGCCACAAAAAAGAGGAGGGGGTGTCAACCTATTCTCCAAAGCCCCTGAAGGCAGGACAAGAAGCAACAGATGGAAACTCATCAAGGACAGCAGCAACCTAGAATTAAGGAGAAATTTCCTGATAGTGAGAACAATTAACCAGTGGAACAACCTGTCTCCAGAAGTGGTGAATGCTCCAACACTGGAAGTTTTTAAGAAGAGACTGGATAGCCATTTGTCTGAAATGAGATAGGGTTTCCTGCCTGAGCAGGGGGTTGGACTAGATGCCTCCAAGGTCCCTTCCAACTCTGTTTTTTCTGTATGATAACTCAGGCAGTTGGACCTATTTTTAGCTTGTGGGTGGATTTTGATTTTGGACTTCAACCTCCAAGCCTGCCTGCTCTATCCAGGTGGGAAGGGGGGGTTAAAAAAAGCAATTTTGAGGGCAAAATGGATCCACGCTTAGCTCCAGCAATGAAACACCTCCTCAATGGCGAACAGTTGCAAAAATGGGTTTGTTTTTTTTAAAACGTGCAAATTCACTCCTAGCCTTGTCCTTGCATTTTGGTTCTGTGGATTAATCAAGAAAAAAATAAAAAAGGCGCAGGGGGGGGAAATAGCTTTTATTGAAATAATAAATTCGAATGTTTTGACCCGACTGCAATTCAGCAAAACATTCCTAAACGCGAGAGCCAAATATCTGGGCAGAATTATGATTACCAACTTTTACACTCGCTGTGAGAAAACCTAAAGGTATTTTCAGCACCGCGTTTAAAGAAAATCCAGCCAACCCTGGTTTATTCAACGAACCACAGCTTAATGTGTTGCGTGGGCAAGCCTGCTATTTTTAAAAAACACATCAGTAAAATGTAAAAATAAATAAATCTAAACTTCCTTAAATCCCGACGCGAATCCATGGCAGAACTGAGATTATAACAGGGGATTTCCCAGGGAGGGGGGGGGAATTAAGTTTTGTAATCCACAGCAGCTTTTTTTTCTCTACTTTAAAATGTATGGACTTCAACTCCCAGAATTCCCTTTTCTGGATGGGGGCTTCTGGGAGTTGAAGTCCACAAATCCTCAAGGTTGAAAAACTCGGAACTACACTAATTTTAGAACAGAGGTTTCTACATCGCACAGATAGTCCTTGATTTACGGCCGCAATCCAGCCCAAAATTTCTGTAGTTAAGGGAGACCTTTGTTAAGTGCCCCATTTTACGACATTTCCAGGCCGTTGTTAAGTGAGTCACTGCAGCTGTTAAGTCAGTAACACGGTGGTTAAGTGGAATCTGGCTTCCCCATTGACTTTGCTTGGCAGAAAGTCGCAAAAGGGGATCACAGGACCCCGGGACGTTGCGACCGTCGTAAATGTGAGTCAGTTGCCAAGCGCCTGAATTTTAATCATGTGATGCTGCAAAGGCCGTAACGGTGAAAAACGGTCCTCAGTCGCTTTTTTTCACTGCTGTTGTAGTTTTGAACGGTCACTAAATGAATGGTTATAAGCCGAGGACTACATCTACTCTGATTTGGCAAAGAGAACGCGGTGGACTGATGCAGAGGAGATATTGAGTCCCAGCTGACCATATCCTGCCTTGCATCAGCCTCGGGATCCAGGTAGCTAATTCTATTTTTTCAAGTTTCACTTCCTCCTTTGAACGTGAGGGCTGAGAGCGAAATGCAAAGTTTCCTGCCATTTTGAGGACGGGAGGTGATGACATAACAAGCCCGGGAAAATCGGTCCAACCATTTTTTTCTCTCTCTCTCTCAAAGCCTGGACGATTTGCCGGGGGGCCAAAATAATAATCAAGCATCTCTGCCTACCCCAGGGTGCTTGAGAAGGACCCGTAGGTGGATAAGATGCCAAACCAGTTTAAACATCTGGCTGACTGTGTGGAACAGGCAATCTTAATAATAATAATAATAATAATAATAATAATAATAATAATAATAATAATAATAATAATAATAATAATAATATTATTATTATTATGTTTTCATAAATGCACGTGTCCTTTTTTTGTGATCTTCAGGGTATTCCAGGCAGTCCTCTACGGCCCGACCAAGGACAAATTCACGCACACGCATGCCTCACGAGAGTTTGGTCTCCTAGTTAAGGCGGCAGGCTATAAAATGGAAGGCACTGTATTCTAGTCCCGCTTTAGCCACGAAAGCTGGCTGGGTGACTTTGGGTCCTAAGTCCCTTTTTTCAGCACTCCTGGCTGAGGAATTCTGGGAGTTGAAGTCCACAAGTCCTAAAAGGGCCACGTTTAAAGGATTCCTGATTCAAAGGAACTCAAGTTGTCATATCTGGATGAGACTAACACTAATAAAATAATAGTAATAAAGTTGGAAGGGACCTTGGAGGTCTTCTAGCCCAACCCCTGCTCAGGCAAGAGACCATTTCAGACAAATGGCTGTCCAGTCTCTTCTTAAAACAGTATTGGAGCATTCACAGCTTCTGGTGGCAGGTTGTTCCACTGATTAATTGTTCTCACTGTCAGGAAATTTCTCCTTAGTTCTAGGTTGCTTGTCCCCTGGCTAGGAGATGGCTTTGGGGGGGAGGGGGTGTTTGGTGCAAAGCCAATATTTTGTTTGGGCACCCAATATTTTTAACTGGCGATGCCAAGGTCCAGAACTGGGCTTTCTGCAGGTGAGGTGGGAAACGCCAGGCTGGCCTCCATCTCACCTGTTCAGCTTGAGGGCGCGCAGGAAGTGATCCCGCTGAGAGGGGCGGCAGGCGAAATGATTCTGGCACTGACCCAAGAGGAAGAAGGGATAAAACGGCTCGGCCGGGTCCAGTTCAGCTTTGAATGTGAAAGCTGGCCAGTTGTCCCCGAGCAAGATCTAAAAGCGAGAGGGTTTTTCCCTGCTTTTTGTTTCCTGCCAGCTTGGAATTCGGATATACTGCTTCTGTATGTGGAAGTTCTACTGCTCCTCTGTATATTCTTTAGCATCCCGTTTCTGGTGCTCAGTGCGCTCTGCCTGCTAAGTCGGAAGTATTAGCTAGACCACGCAGGGAGGCTGAGTCCAGTTTCTGAAGGGGAGACCCCCCCTGCCCTTTTGTATGGATTGCGTTGTTCTCTTCTCTCTTGAGAGTCAAATCACCTCCTGCCTGTACCTCAACAAAATCCCAGCTCTTTTGCTCGTCCGTCCATCTCACGTCCCCCCTCGGGTTTGACGGGATCCCAATTCCCCCACTCTCTCTTGAAAGACAGGGATAAGTCCCGCCTTAGGCATCAAAGCCAGCTGGGTGGCTTTGGGCCAATTGGTGAGTTCTAGTCTGCCTTTGGCATGAAGCCAGCTGGGTGACTTTGGGGCCAATTGCCAGGAGATGGTGAGTCCTAGTCTGCTTTTGGCATGAACGCCGGCTAGGTGACTTTGGGCCAATCGCCAGGAGATGGTGAATTCTAGTCTGCTTTTGGCATGAAGCCAGCCGGGTGACTTTTGGGCCCATCGCCAGGAGATGGTTAAGTTCTAGTTTGCTTTTGGCATGAAAGCCGGCGACGGTGAGTTCTAGTCCCTTCTTTGGCACGAAAGCCGGCTGGCTGATTTCGGGTCAGTCCCTCTCTCTCAGCCCAAATCCAACCTGCAGGGTTGTTGTGGGGAAAAGAGGAGGAAGCCGCGTTGGATATTTTTGCCACCTTGCGTTATTTATAAAAAATAATAAAGGCAGTTTAAAAATAAAGCAAAGTTTGCTGTTCTCCCTGTTATGCCCGGGCCATTCTTTAACCAAATGGGGGGAAAAAAGCTAATTATACCCCTCCCCATTTATTTTTAGCTTCTCTGCCAAGCTCCGCAAGATGCTTTCGCCCCTCTCTTTATCGCCATTCATAACCAAACTATTTTCTTTTATGTCTTGCCCTCCTAAATGGCTCCATTTTCTCAATCAAGTTGCTTTTCATATCCACATTACGCTCACTACCCAGGACTTCAGCATGGCACATCTGGAGAGAGCAAGGGAGTTTGGCTGGGGGGCGAGGGGAGTTCCTGTCCAGAACATCTGGAATGTGCCAGGAGATGGAGAACACAGGCGGGGATGATGGATGTTCTAGTCTAACACATCTGGAAAATGCGGGGGGTGGGTGGGTTGAGGAGAGCTTAGCTGGGGATGATGGGGTTTATTTCCCAGCATATCTGGAAAGTGCCAGGAGATGGAGAACTCAGCCAGGGATGATGGATGTTCTAGTCCAGCACCTCTGGAAAGTGCCAGGGGGTGGAGAGCTGAGCTGGGGACGATGGGGTTTATTGCCTAGCACACCTGGAAAGTGCCAGGGGACGGAGAGTTCAGGCTGGGGATGATGGGAGTTCTAGCCTATAACCTAGAGAGTGCCAGAGGATGGAGAGTTCAGTCTGGGGATGATGGGAGTTCTAGCCTATAACCAGCAGAGTGCCAGAGAATGGAGAGTTCAGGCTGGGGATGATGGGACTTCTAGCTATAACCTGGAGAGTGCCAGAGAATGGAGAGTTCAGGCTGGGGATGATGGGACTTCTAGCTATAACCTGGAGAGTGCGAAAGGATGGAGAGTTCAGGCTGGGGACGATGGGAGTTCTAGCCTATAACCTGGAGAGTGCCAGGGGATGGAGAGTTCAGGCTGGGGATGATGGGAATTTAAGCCCAGGGCATCTGGGGAGTTTTAACCCAACTCACTTGGAGAATTCCAGCTTGGAAAGAAAGAAGCCCGGATGGGGACGATGGGACCTTCCCTCCAAGAGGACTGGAGCATGGAACCAGAGATCCAGCAACATTCTTGGGGTGCACCAAGTTTTTTTTTTTCGGGGGGGGGCAGAATTACCTCCTAATAGACAGTTTGCAACCCCACACAAAAAGGGGAAGAAAGCCCCAAAAGGGGATTCCCCCCTCCCAATTTCCAACCAAGCCCCTCCACCCTCCAAGGGGGGGGCTGACCCCCCCTCCTTCCAAACCTCCGCCCCCACTTCCTGGTCGGGGCCTCCCCCCCTAAAAAAAGAGCCCCCCCAAACCCGGACCACCCCCCTCAGCCCCCCCTTTTGTGCTTTAAATAAAGCCCTCGGGCGCCCCCCCCTCGCCCCTCCCCCCCTCGCCGGGACAAATAACGAGCCACGGGAAGAGCCGCCGCCTCCTCCTTACCGCCCACCCGGTACATATTGGCCGCCATGGCGCCCCGCGACCTCTTCCCGGCCGCCTCGGCCGCCTCAGCAACTCCGGGCCCGGCCGCTCTTCATCGCCTCCCGCCGCCTCAGCCGCCTCAGCCGCCGCTCCGTCGCTCCCCCTCACGCAGCCTGGGCCGGCCCCGCCGCGCGCCCTTCGGCGATCTCCGGAAGCGCTCGGGCATTTCCGGTCGGGCTTCGTGGGAAGCGCACGCCGGCGGCGGAAGCGGCTCGGGCTTTTCCGGAAAAGGAGGTTTCTCCTCAGTCTGGGATGGCGGGAGGGGCGGGGATTCTTCCCGAGGGCTTCCGGAAAGAGACGAAGAAGACTCGGGCTGTTTCTCCCGGAGGGCTTCGGCTCACCTCGTTGGGAGGGCTCTTTCTCGGGTGGGCGGAGCCTCAGAGGGACTTCGGAAAAACGGCGGGCTCCTTCGTGTCTTTCCGCCCATCTTCGGCGGAAGAGAGGAGAATCGAGTACTTTCGGCCGACATCGGCCTTTTCCGGAACTGGAGGTTAACTCTTTCCTGCCCGCAAGACCCCCCCTTTAGTCAAAGCGAACAAGCAGACGCACAATTTTAAATATTTTACTGGTCACAACTGATGAGCACATGCGGGCATGCAATATGTGGGATACGTTGGTAGCATTTGTGAACCCTTTAAAATTATTTTCAATCCTGCAAGTGTTTTAAGGCAGTGTTTCTAAACGTTAGCCATTTTAAGATGGGTGGACTTCAACTCCCAGAAATCCACAGCCTTCAATTCTTAAAGCATGGCTTGCTGGGGAATTCTGGGAGATGAAGTCCACCCATCTTAAATCAAGCTGGCTGGGGAATTCTGGGAGTTGAAGTCCAC